GGGTAGGCCCTACCCAAGGCCCTAGGCTTCCCAAGGGTAGGCCCTACCCAAGGCCCTAGGCTTCCCAAGGGTAGGCCCTACCCAAGGCCCTAGGCTTCCCAAGGGTAGGCCCTACCCAAGCCCCTAGGCTTCCCAAGGGTAGGCCCTACCCAAGGCCCTAGGCTTCCCAAGGGGTAGCCCTAGGGTAGCTCTAGGGGTGGGCCCCAGGGGTAGCTTCAGGGTAGCCCTAGGGGTAGGCCCTAGGGGTAACCCTTTATTGCGGATTACAATATGATTCCTTTGGTCGGGCGGGCGGGCGGGACATTAATAGCATTGGTTGCCTTGGTGGCGGATTACATATATTGATTCCCTGTGTGGTGGATTATCAACTGATTATTCTTGTCGGGCGGGCGGGCGGGACACTAAAGGCATTGATTGCATGTGTGGCGGGTGGCACACTGATTCTTATTGTGTCAGATTACACATTGATTCCTTTTGTCGGGCGGGCGGGCGGGACATTAAAGGCAATGATTGCTTGTGTGGCGAATTACGAATGGATTCTCTTTTATTGCGGATTACAAACTGATTCCTTTGGTCGGGCGGGCGGGCGGGACATTAAAAGCGTTGGTTGCTTTGGTGGCGGATTACAAAGTGATTCCATGTGGCAGCGGGTTACAAGTTGATTACTATTGTGGCGGATTACAAGCTGATTCTTTTGGTCGGGCGGGCGGGCGGGACATTAAAGGCATTGCTTGCTTTGCTGGCGGATTACATATTGATGCCCTTTGTGGCGGAGTGGGAGTGGAAGAGGAGGAGAAGGGGGAGGAGGAGCAGGTGGGGGAGGCGGAGGGCGACGATGACGACGACGACGACGACGACGACGCTCCCGCCGCCTCCTCCGCCTCCGCCGCCACCTCCTCCTCCTCCTCCTCATCCTCCTCCTCCCCCCCCTCCTCCTCCTCCTCCTCCTCCACCTCCTCCTCCCCCCTCGCTACTCCCTCGATCCCCTGCTCCCCCCCCCCCCCGCTCCCCCTTCCGAGGGCAGGGCGCCCGCGCCGCCCCCCGGCGACTGCGGCCCCGGCGCCGCAGACCACCCCTCGCAGACCCCCCCTCTGGGACCCCCCCTCGCTGACCCCCCCTCGCAGACCCCCCCTCACAGACCCCCCCTCTGGGACCCCCCCTCGCTGACCCCCCCATCGCTGACCCCCCCTCGCAGACCCCCCCTCGCAGACCCCCCCTCTGGGACCCCCCCTCTGGGACCCCCCCTCTGGGACCCCCCTCACAGACCCCCCCTCGCTGACCCCCCCTCGCAGACCCCCCCTCGCTGACCCCCCTCTCTGAGACCGCCCCCTCTTGAACCCCCCCTCTTTGACGCCCCCCTCTGGGACCCCCCCTCGCTGACCCCCCCTCGCAGACCCCCCCTCGCAGACCCCCCCTCTGGGACCCCCCATCGCTGACCCCCCCTCTGGGACCCCCCTCACAGACCCCCCCTCGCTGACCCCCCCTCGCAGACCCCCCCTCGCTGACCCCCCCTCGCTGACCCCCCCTCGCTGACCCCCCCTCGGGGATTCACCTCCCCCTCTGGAAGACTCGGACGACGAGGTGCCAGGAGGAGGGAGGAAGGTACAGACCTAGGGTAGCCCTAGGGTAGCCCTAGGGGTAGGCCCTAGGGGTCGCCCTAGGGTAGCCCTAGGGGTAGGCCCTAGGGGTAGCCCCAGGGTAGCCCTAGGGGTAGGCCCTAGGGTAGCCCTATGGTAGCCCTATAGGGGTAGGCCCTAGGGTAGCCCTAAGGTAGCCCTAGGGGTAGGCCCTAGGGGTAGCCCTTCCTTGGGTGATCTATAAGGTCTTTCAGGGACCGGACCCCGAATGCCGAAACCTCTCGGGGCTGGTCGCGTGCCCCCCTGGGGCTTCCCGCGTGCCCCCCTGGGCTTTGCCGAGCGGTGGCGCGTGACTTCTTCGGGCCCAGGCCGAAGATGGTCCAAGAGGGCCCCGAGTCGCCGAACGATCGCTCCAAGACGCCCAAGATGGCCCCAAGACGATTCAAGAGGCTTCCAAGACGCCCCAGGAGGCCTCCAAGACTCCCCAAGAAGCGCCTCCAAGAGGCTTTCCAAGTGGGCTTTCCAAGGATGCCCAACATCATTGAATTTCCCATAGTTTTTGAAGAATTCTGGCGGTCTCGCCGTTGCGGCTTGCCCCCAAACCGCCCCAAAAGGGCCCCCAAACGGCCCAAGAAGGCCCCAAGACGGCCCATGGGCGCCCAATACGGCCCAAAGGGGGCTCCAAGACGGCCCCAAAAGGGGCCCAAGAGAGGGAACACGAACTGAGAAAATCTAGCTTTCCACCCCAAGAGGCGCCCAGGAGGCCCCAAGAGGCGCCCAGGAGGCCCCAGGAGGTCCCCAAGAGGCCCCGAGGAGGCCCAAAGGGCCCCCCGAGAGGCCCCAGGAAGCATCAAAACGGCCCCCCAACGGTCTCCAAACTGCCTCAAGGAGGCGCCCGAGAGGCCTCCCACGAGATCCCTACGAGCATCCAATAGGCCTCATATCCACGACCCGGGCGCGGCGGATAAGAAGGAACCGAGGGGGCTCTTCTGGGCACGGCGCGCCTAAGCCACAAGCAGATGCCACGACGCACCTATGAGGAACGGCCCGAAAACCGGGTCGGGGGGCTCGATGGGCATCGGAGGCGCGCGCAGCAGATGCGGGAGGAGGAGGAGGAGGAGGAGGAGGAGGAGGAGGAGGAGGAGGAGGAGGAGGAGGAGGAGGAGGAGGAGTGAGGAGGGATGAGGGATGAGAGGAGAGAAAGAACGCGACATGCTCACACACAAGGTCTGGCCACGCAAAGAGAGGAGGGGAGGAGGAGGGCAGAGATGAGGGAGGAGGAGGAGAAGGAGAGGATGAAGCGTAAAAAAAAAAAAAACGAGTGAAAAATAAAAATAAAAACGGAGGAGGAATGAGGAGAAGGAGAGTGAGGAGGAGGAGGAGGATAAAAAGGAGGAGGATCCTCTCCTGATCCCCAAACGGTCCTTACTTTTCAGCGTCTTGGTTGGTAGGGTGGCCCAGACCTCGGGGTGCCCGGGCTGCCGGCGGACGACGGCACCCACGAGCGAGCGACGACGACGACGACGGGGACGAAAAGGGGCATTCGTCAGCGAGGGCGCTAGCAACTCGACCCTCTCTGCGCCTGCCCCAACCTTGATTATTGTTTTGGTTGCCGTTTTTTTGGGAGGGTGCCTCTCT